ATCAGTTATTAAACATATTGTATTGCTCTCGTTAGCTTATTCTGACGGAAGACTGCCAAACAGACCATGGTTTCACTCTTGATTACAGGGTATCACTTTAGAGCTTGGAAGTCTCCTGAAGAGAACAAACAGCTTTGCCAAACAGTCCCAAAGACTTCAGGATCTGCCTTGAAATAGTTCCTAGCACCAGAAATTTGAGAATTACGGAGAACTGAAAAAGTAGGAAAATGTAAATAAGCTTTGCACTGGCAGCAACATGCGTTAGGACAATTACCATCACCTAGCTCCCACACAAACCAGAGCTGGTTTATGCAAGTCTCTGCCTAAAACAGAATTTTTAATCATAAAACACTGTCCTTCTTTTAGCCTCCTTTAAGAGCTTGCCTCCAAGAAAAGCTAAGAGCTATAATTTTTAAAAAAATAATAATCTTACCTTGTCTGACCTACTCTATGGCATCGGTCTTCTGCTTGCTTATCATTGTAGGGGTTGCAATCAATGTCATGAAGAATAACAACATTTGCTGAGGTCAGGTTAATGCCCAAGCCACCAGCTTTGGTCGACAGGAGGAATACAAATATATCCATATCGGTATTGAACTCATCTATTAGATTTATCCTGCAGAACACAAGAAAACATGCATGAGGCCTTGGAGAAAACACCACACTGGCTCCAGAGTTGACTAGAAAAGTTAGAATGATGATCTTCTGAAAGGAAGGACACTGGCATTTGCAAACCAGCTGAAAAGTACAGACATTATGCAGAAGGAAAAAGGGTACCAAGAGTCCTCAGCAGTGACCACAGAAACATCCTCAGAGTGACAGATCGACAGCAAAGAATTAAGAGAGGCTTGGAAAAAGATTCTGGATTAAAACAGGACACAGAGCAAGCTGGAGGAGGGAAGATGGCATTTCATTACATGAAACAAATGGGGGGTCAACAGGGGAGGAAGGGCTTTAGCTTCATGACTGTCTTCTGTACCAAATGCACCTACAAGGGAAGGAACAGATTTCAGCTCTAAGTGGGAAGTAATACCACAGCAAGAATGACAGGTTTTTTGAAACAAAGGAAAGAGCATAAAAAAAAAAAATTAAAAGGGGAACAGTAGAAAACCAGCACAGCTCACATACAAGAAAAGCATGGCAGCACTTTCACCTGTGGACAGAGTAAATGGTTTGTCCTAGAGAAATAAAGGGGCTGATCTGCCTGTTGTAACAGGGATATACTATACTTCTGAGGCATAGGTACAGGTGAGCTTTCGTTATGGCATGCTGAGGCACAAGCAAATCAAAACACACCACAAACTGCTGAAAACAAGAGGTTCCCCATTTCAATGGCTAGGACTGTAACCTGACCATCTGAAACACACCTTTCAGCCTCATCCTTACTAAGGCAATCTGAAATCCAACATTATGATTCTATGATTAAACCCGTTCTAGAGTCAATGCCCAGTGACCACAGAATTCTATACATCGGAAAACAAAGGTAAGGGGTTTAAGTCACCTCCCCACCATCATGCATACATCCATTTTTTTCTCTCTCATCTTCAGCAGAAAAAAAGTCACATACCGATCAGAAATCTGTGTTTTTCCATCCAACCTAATGTATCTATGGTTCCAATGCCTTAGGACAACTTCCAAGATATCCAGCATCATAGTAAACTGGCTAAACAATACAACTCTGTCACCCTGGAAAAGAAAAAGCAAACCATAAGTTTTAAAACAGGTCAATTATGGATCATGAACTACATAAATACTTTCATGAACTGCAGAAATACTTTATTGGTGCAAATATGTGATTTTCCTTTTACTGGGTCCCTATTTTCCAAACGAAAAGACTAGGCTGAAATTCATCAAGTCAGGACTCTCAGTAAAGATGTCGTATCCAGTATTTCTGCCGCATTAACCCGCCTTCTGTCAGTGCAATAATTCTTCACTTACTTTGTACTTAGGGGACTCAAGCAACCTAGAAATCACCTGTCAAATGCATCAATGACAGGCCTACTCCAGCTACAAACATCAACAAAACCTATTTTCACTGAAAACTTAAATTCCGTATCATATAGAGCAGTAGCACTCTGTTGCCTGAAATAATCAACCAGATGCACAACACACACTCGTGCAAATTCAAGATACTTAAAAGCTGCAAGTATTGCTTTGCAATGCTGTGCATCACACTGTAATACTCCACAGAAAAGCAACTGGGTTGCACGTACAACTCGCAGATGGGAATTTAACCAGCTATTTAGAGCCACCCTTTAGATGGACAGGAAAAGATGCTTCAGCCATCTGTGGTACCAACCTTTTCTTTAAGGTCAGAGAGAATGCGTTCCAGTGCTCTAAACTTTCCAGAATCCAAGATCTGATCCATGTCTAACTGGAAGTCATTGATGTGATAATATTGCTTAGAAAGCAAATGCAGCTCAAAATCTGACATTACTGTCATATCCTCAAAGATAAGGTCATGGTCAGCATCTCTATGGGTGGGTTCCTGTTAGCAAAAATGAAGGGAAATAATGCAAAACACAATCTCGCTAGACAGACAAGAAAAAAAAACCAAAATACCACACAGTAACATCCAAAAGTTCTGAAAGAACAAAGCAGCACAACCATAGACAAATGCCAGAGCACGCCTCATGCAAGCAACCCCAGGTTTATAGTAGAGGATCATTACTTCACCATTTGGCTTTTACAAGAACTTGTACTACCAATAAACTAAGAAGGATATGCTCAACCTCTACAGAAATGACCTAGTTCCCATGAAGCCTTATGACCTTTTACCCCCATATCAGACCTCTTCCCCTGAAGACACATTCCCTAAAAGGGAGGTCCAATCCTTGGATAGATGGTAGAAGACATGGGAAGCCCAGCCCAAGATGTAGGGTGGGTAGAGGGATGTCATGCCTGGAAGAAAGAGGAAAAAGAGCCACATCTGGAGAGTACGATGGTATGAGTAGGAATAAAAAGGGACAAAAATCCTTCCTAAGCTAATGGGTAACTTCTTCCCTTCCCCCTAACCTTGAGTGGCTTTATTTAAACAAATCAGCTGCAGGTATTCAAGGCCAGCTGCAACTTTCTTAGAGCACCTGCTGCACATTTTCTTTTCTTTACACTTTACAAAGAAGCAACAATATTCCCCCAACTCCACAGGCACTAACTCCAGACAAATGACAAAAAAAAAATCTTAAACAGTTCAATACTTATGCCTTCCCTAGTTTAGTTCTGTACAGCCTAGATTTCGTGCTACTCAGAAAATACCAGTAAACTCAAGTGCCCACCCAAGATTTTTTTTTTTTTAAAGTACTTTGGTTTTAAATTTTTGAGTGGAGGGAAGAGGTGTTAAGAGGAAGCTAATGAAAAGGAGATGACTGCAGTCCCACAACTGTTCTCTCTATTCTAATATCTGACACAAAAAAATCCGTGCTAAACAGAGACAGAGCTTGATTAGAGCACTGGTAGATGCAGAGAAATAAAAAGCAGCAACAATGAATTATGTTTTGCAAAGACAGTTTTGACCAGAGGACTGACAGTTAAAAAAAAAATAAATCTATCAATCTATTTAAATTGCATTAAAAATTCTGAGAAATTAAGGATTGCTTTGGAATCTCATCACCTTACCTTGAGCATAAGCTTGGACATTGTCCTGAGCTTGTCAGTTGTGTAATACTGACGGTGCAACAGAGGGTGGTTAGCCATTTTTCTAAGTTGCATCATGACATTTCCTGTATCAGAGTTTTTCTCTGTAAACAAAGAAATAAGGTCTATTCAGAAGTAGGACATAGATGCCTATCTGACACACCTTTATACCTCAGGAGAACTTTATTTATAAAGGATTGAATTTAGCATTTCACCTATTACCTGAACTTGGGAAAAATTCATAGAAGGAATATAATCATCTTAGGAGTGTTAAGACATTTGTACAAAGCCAGGGATTTGTCATCACATTCAACATACATTTGGGCATGAAAAAAAATCCAGCAAAAGTAAACAAGATTCTCACATACCACTACCGTTAATAGTCTTCTTAAGCTTGTTAAAGAGATCATAGTAGAGCTGTTCCTGTTTCTCCGACATGGCACATAATTCAACGATATCATTTTTGGGAGGTAGCTGTTTAAGGACCTGACAAAATAAAAGCATACCAGGTAAAAACTGTACTGCAGTGAACAGACAGTAACCCCATACTATCTTACAAGCCTGCTTTTAAGCTACTCTGTTCATTCTCCTCATCCCAACTCCTTTCATTGGCTGCAACTTTGCTGTGTTGGCAGTTCCACTTACAAATTCAGAGTTTGTTTTGGATT